CCAGGACTTGGAGGTTGCTGTGAGCTGTAATGCCACAGCACTCTACCCAGGGGGATAGCTTGAGGCTCCGTCTCAAAAAAAAAAAAGAAGGACAAGCAAAGTGTGGCTGGTGCAGGGAAGGAAGGAAGGGAGCAGGCCAGAGGGCCTGAAATTCCTAGGGAGGGACGTATGACTCCTCAGCAGGGAAGGCTGGACAGAGACCAAGGGGGAAGGAGAGGATTTGGGGACCTTTAGGGAGCAAGGAGGAGCGAGGAGCAAGAAGATAAGGGTCTGTCAGTGGCTGAGTGGTAGAGGGGAGAAGAGATGGAAAGACTGACACTGTGCCCACCTCCCCAGGGTATATCCAGGCCTGCCGGGCACTCATGATCACCGCGATCCTACTGGGCTTCCTTGGCCTCTTTCTGAGCATAATGGGGCTGCGCTGCACAACCATTGGGAGCATGGTGCTCTCCAGGAAAGCCAAGCTGGCAGCCATCGCAGGGGCCCTACACATGCTGGCTGGTAACTTTGGGAAGGTGATGGGGGTGAGGAGGGGGCTGCACGACCGGGGCAGGGGGTTGGGGTGGCCTTCCACAGCACACCCTAAGTTCTTTGTCCTCATCTCCAGCCCTCCACTCCTGGTATTGCCTCACCTTCCGTTTACCTCACCTTACACCTGCCCTCCCGTGCTCAGTTCTTCCTTCCCTCCCTATTCAACAGCACCCTCATCACCAGCCCCCTACATCCCTTGGTTCAAATCAGTCCATTGCAATGCTTCGTAAGCTCCCATTATAATCCAGGCATGAGCCAGGTGTGGGGAGGATGTCAAAGGTGAAAGCGAGCATCAACCTCCCAGATCCTATATCCTCGCTGGGCAATCAGAGTTAGACACACACACATATTGCATAACAGTACCATAGGACTGGCCATCACTTTTCAGCTTCCATGACATTTCTGCATACATTACCTCACAATAAGCCTTTGAAGTAGGGTGGGTATTGTTTTCCAAAGGTAAAAGTTCAGGTGAAAAGTAAGGCCAAGCTTCCAACAAGTGGAGTGGTGCCAGCCCTGGGGTCTGCTTGCTTGTGGGCACCCTCTGCCCAAGCAGCTGAGGCCCATCACAGGTGGAGGAGGGATTTGGGAGGCACACCCATGGGGAGGACTCCTGAGGCAGCCTAGTTTTTGCATGTGGGTAGAATTTGTATGTGGCACATCCCGAGTGAGGAAATGACATGATGGAATGAACTAAGCAGGTGTGGGACCAAGAAGGAAACCAAGAGGCCACAGTGGTGAGAGAGGAGGAAGGTGAGCTAGAATTGGGATCCTGAGTGCTGGATTAGGGAGTTTACAGTTGACCCCAGAAAGTGGGAAGGCTTATAAACTGGGGCCGGGAGGAAGGAATTGGGTGAAATTGCTGCTCTTGGACTTGATGCCCCGCATTCCACTCTGGGCAGCCCGGGCCTTTTCCTCTCCTAAGCTTCCTCCCACCCTTGCAGGTGTCTGCGGGATGGTGGCCATCTCCTGGTATGCCTTCAACATCACCCGGGAGTTCTTCGACCCCCTGTATCCTGGAACAAAGTGAGTCAGGGGATGCCGCTCTCGGGCAGTAGGTGGGACTTGCCCTGTTCCACAGCCCCCTCTGGAGGTGCCTCACCTCCCGCTCCCCACCCCGCCTCCCACCGCGATGTTCTCGTTCCAGATACGAGCTGGGCCCCGCCCTCTACCTGGGCTGGAGTGCCTCTCTGCTTTCCATCCTGGGTGGCATCTGCCTCTGCTCTACCTGCTGTTGCAGCCCAGACGAGGACCCGGCTGCCAGGTGAGGGAAGGGCAAGCAGCGGGGAGGAGGGGAGGAAGCGGGAAGGGTTGAAGCGGGCGGGAGCGACGGCAGCACCTCTCTCTGACCTGGCCCCCTCCCTACAGCGCCCACCTTCCCTACAAGGCCTCCGGGTCCGTGGTGCCCTTTGCCGCCTCAAAGGAAGAAGGTGACAGCAGCTTTGGCAAATACGGCAAAAACGCTTATGTGTAGGCGCTGTGGCAGTTGAACCCCGTTTTCCTTCCCATTGCCCCAGCGCGAAGGGGTCTCGGCGGTGTCCAGCCCACCCAATGGCAGCCTCAGGGTAAGGCCACACCCAGGCCCCTAATCCAGGCCCGTCTCTGGCTGGAGCCACGCCCCCCTTGCCTCACACTCCGGGGGCCTTCCAGGCCAAGAACTCCTCCTGTGTCCCTTTGGCGGAATCCCTCTCATCAGTCTTCGGAACCTGGGATCTGGGCTGTGAAGGGGTCAGCGGTGACTCTGAGCGTGTGTATTCTACATGCATAAATAAAGGTATATTGTGACTGTTCAGGAGCTGAGGATGTCATGAAGCCGCTAGCCAAGCAAGGGTTGGGTGGTGCTCCAGGGTTCATTTCAGTTCTCAGACCCCAGATTGTCACTGTCCACAACCTTTGGGCTGTATCCTCCAGCAAAACAGAGAAAGGGTTACAAGTGATGGCACATAATTACTGACAAGAGTCATCAAGGAGCAGATATGAGGCAGCCGTGGCTCCAAGAAACTAGAAACAGCAGAGCTGGCCTGGGCCATTCCAGGATAACTTCCTCTCCTTTTACTCTCCTTGGCTGGACAAGGAGACAGTTGACCTACAGCAGAGCTGCTCTACCTGAGCCAAGAGTGGATGTCACTGAGAAGCCTTTTAAAATTCTGTGTCAAATTAACTGAGTCTAGTGCAGGCATACGTCTCTGGGAGGGTTCAATAGCTTCCAGAAAAGGCTCTGAAGCTTGTTGGTGTGTGCATGGCTCGATAGTGTCCAGCTCACACTCAGATCTGGGGTGTGGATGGGCTTGGTGCAGCCCATTGAGCACTCAGAACAGCTGCACCTGTTTGAAATTGAACCAGAAAGAAGCCTGGAGTCTGTGAAGACAAGGGAGCAGGGCCCTATCCCAGCCAGTACCTTCCACAGCACTGACGAGTGACTAGTTGCTTGGGGGCTCCCTGGGTTCTGATGGCAGCCCCCTCCGCTTTTCTCCCTCATCTCATCAACTTGGTTGCATTCTGCCTGGGCCTCTCTCCATGGCCTCAGAAGCACACCCATCCCCAGCATGTTCTCGCAAGTCTGAGCTTCAGGCACGTCAAAACTATCACTTTCTACTGAGAATGCAGCTCCTGTAACTCCTGTTACCAGCATCCCCAACCTCTCTGTCTGCTCCCCAGGCCTTATATACAACTTTCCATCAAGGCCTCCAATTAGGCTCTACCCAGAAAGACTGGTGCTTCCTGAGCACCCTACATACAGGGTCCCATGGCAAACAAGTCTACAAAAATCCATATATCTACCCCTCCACGCTCTGCTTTCATAAAGCATGTAGGTGTCCCATTGGCCAAGTTCAGAGTCAATGTGGAAGAGATGGCACCAGAGCTCTGGCACTGGGAAGTATGTCACATTGGGACCCTCAGTGCAGCACTCCATCCCTGCCAAATCTTGGGCAACATGACTTGCTTTGTTGGCACAGATAAGGGACTTCTTAAAGGTGGGACAGATAGGCATCTGTCTTCCAATCCTGAAGAGCCATGAGAGTCCTCTCCCCCCACCCCATGAAGAAAGACAAAAGCCAGTTACAACTCCTTACAATTCTGGTGTCTCCAACAGTCTCCTCCCCTCCCCCAATCCCTTCCTCCTTTTCTTCTTTTTGAGACAGAGCCTCAAGCTGCCAAGTAGCTGGGACTACAAGCGTCTGCCACAATACCCGGCTATTTGGTTGCAGCCGTCGTTGTTTGGTGGACCCAGGCTGGATTTGAACCCACCAGCTCAGGTGTATGTGACTGGTGCCTTAGCCACTTGAGCCACAGGTGCCGAGCCCCCTTCCTCCTTTTCTACATGCCAGCTCTGCCCTGATCACCCCTTCCCCTCTTAGGAAAACCAATCTGAGCCAAGTTTCACAATTGAGCATTAAAGTGTGTGCCTTAACACGGTCACTAACTTGAGTTTGGTATCTTAATCCATCATGTGTGGTCACACCGCAATAAAGAGCCATTGACACATTTGCCCTTTTCCACAACTTACTGGGTTGCTTCTCTGCTAGGGACCAGAGTGGGCAATAAGATATGGTCCCTGCCCTCAAAGAACTCACAACCTAGGAGCAAACAGAAATGTAAATCGCTGGTTCCTCAACTATGGACTAGTGCTGTGGCTACTCTGAGGGAGCTGGCTGTGAAAAGCTCAAGAAACTGCTTTAGGTCTTAGCCAGTATCAACAGCTCTCATTTACTAAGTGTTCTCCACAAGGCAGGCCCTGGGCTAGGTGCATAATCTCAGTTAATCTGCAAGGTGGCTTTCACAAAGTCAAGTGAAGTGACCTGGACAGGCTTCACAACTAATTAGTGGGAGCAAGATTTCTCCAAGACAGAAGACACAACTTCCCTGCTTCTCAGAACTCTTGGCTCTCCTAGTTTATATCAATCAAATCCAATGCTCACTGAGGTGTATAGGAATAAATCTCCATCTCCAGCCTCCTAGGTCTTCTTCCCCTGTGTTCCCAGGAAAGGGTGGTACTGCCCTTATCACATGATACTAGATTTAGCTTCTAGAATCCTTTGGCATAGTGTAGATTTCCCAAAGACCAGGTGTCTTCCAAGGTAGGGAACAAGGAAGCTGGCAAAATTGTTCAAGATTTTCCTTGAGGTGTTATGGTTTTGGTTTTTCTTTGTTGTTGTTTTTGAGACACAGTCTCACTCTGTTGTCCACTCTAGAGTGCCACTGTGCCAGCCTAGCTCACAGTAATCTCAAACTTCTGGGCTCAAGCTAGCCTCCCACCTTAGCCTACCAGAGTACTAGGATTATAGGCAAGAGCCACCTCACCCAGCCCTTGGGAGTTAGGTTTTTTTTTTTTTTTTTTAGATGGAGCCTCAAGCTATACCCCTAGGTAGAGTGCCATGGCATCACAGCTCACAGCAACCTCCAACTCCTGGGCTCAAGCGAGTCTCCTGCCTCAGCCTCCCAAGTAGCTGGGACTACAGGCACCCGCCACAACGATTGGCCATTTTTTGGTTGCAGCCATCATTGTTGTTTGGCGGGCCGGGCTGGGGATTTGAACCTGCCACCTTAGGTGTATGTGGCTGGCGCCTTAGCCGCTTCAGCCACAGGCGCCAAGCCGGAGTTAGGCTTTTCAATGAGGATCCAGAGATCCTGGAATCTACTTCCTAGAGGACATCAATGGGTGATAGTAGAGTGATCAGCATCAGACCAATGGGAAGCCCTTGGGGTCTGGCTCTGTGCTCTCAAGGTGATTTAGTGAATCACTGAGGAGAGACATACCAAGCAGAACCCATACCAAGCAGAAACCCATATTTCTAACAACAAAATATGAAACTAAATCAATTAGGAAATAAACCAAAGACACTGTACTGACAGCACAAATCAAAAGGAAGTCCTGATGCAGGATATACAGAGAAGCACAGATAGTGTTGGGTGGCCACAAACAGTCTTTTCCACTTCTATTTCCTTGCTTGAGTATACTTCTTGATGGAGAGGAAAAGAAAAGGAAGGAGAGGAAGCTGAAGATTCCAGAGAGGCCCCTTTCCTAGAGCCAATGAGCCTAGGCAGGACTCCTGGGGGCCCAGTTACTATCATTGTTAACAAACCACCCAACGGGGTGTGGCTCCTGTGGCTCAGTGGGGAGGGAGCCGGACCCATATACAAAGGGTGGTTCAAACCCTGCCCTGGCCAAACTGCAACAAAAAATAGTTAGGGGTTGTGACAGGCACCTGTAGTCCCAGCTACTCGGGAGGCTGAGGCAAGAGGATCACCTAAGCCCAAGAGTTGGAGGTTGCTGTGAGCTGTGATGCCATGGCACTCTACCGAGGGCAATAAAGTGAGACTCTGTCTCAAAAGAAAAAAAAATCACCCCAGAACTCAAAGGCACACATCAACTGTTCTATGATCCTGTAGGTTAGGAGTTTAGACAGGAACAGCAGAGAAGAGCTGTCTCCAAAATGAAGCTGTCACCAACATTATTTGTCCAATCTTTGGGAAAAGGGAAATAAGTTCCTCAGGAACACTCTGGGAACATTTGGGCTAGCTCCTAAGAAAGTCCCCCAAAGCAGAGAAAGGAGCCTAACATTGACATTGCTGGATCTCATTAATATCTTAATGAAGTTATTTATTCACCAATACTTACTAAGCACTTGCTTTGCTATGTGTTTAAGAAGGTGCTATGCCTTAAAATAGCAACTCCAAGGAGCTTAAAAAATTGCATTTTGCAATCCACCTAGACAAGATGTGGGTGTAAAAAGTCCCAGTACCAAAAAAAGAAAAAAAAAAAAACTGCAAACAAAAGGGCTGCGCCTGTGGCTCAAAGGAATAGGGTGCCAGCCCAGGCCCCATATGCCGGAAATGGCGGGTTCAAACCCAGCCCCAGGGAAAAAAAAAAAAAAAAAACTTTATTGCTAAAAAATGCTAATGATCATCTGACCCTTCAGTGAGTCGTGATCTTATTGTTGGTGAAGGTTCCTGCCTTGACGTTGGTGGCTGCTGGCTGCTCAGGGTGCTGGTTGCTAAAG